CGCGGAAGGTCCACATTGCAAACGCTAGGTTAAACACTGCTAGTGCGAGGTTTATGGAGTAGTAGAAGGACCACTGAACCCCGTCGGATACCATGGCCGTCGCTATTAGCGGTCCCATGATCCCCCCAATGCCGTAGCTGCCGTGCATGGCGCCGAGAGAAGCCGTACTGTTCGCTAGGTTCGCACAGAAAACATTGTTCAAGGCTAAATTCAGCGCGATTCCGAATCCCAGCAGAAAGAAACTGGCCACGACGGCTGGAAATGGCGGTTTGAAGAGAATGATCACATATCCCGCAACCAACAAACTCATTGATAAGGCGTAAGATTTTGAGCGCCCGAGTTTTGCCTCAAATAATTGTGTGACTGGCGCAGCAAGTATGAACCCCAGCGCATTAGTCACAAAAATCAGTGACACGACTGCGTAACCGATATTGTAGTCTTTCTCAATGTACGGAATCAGAGCACCTGGGCCGCTGTCATTCAAGCCATTGGCCACATTCATCACACAAGCACTCAAAAGTCTCCATCTTGTCGTCGCAGATGAGGTGGGGTTTGGCAGTGGATCGATAGCATCGATAGCACCGTCTCCACTAGGTGAGCCCGGAAGGCTCTCCAACTCACTGGGAGTGACGGGTGTGATAGGCCTCTGAACTCCGGTGTTTGGCCCTGACGCATAAGACTGGCGACTTTCGCGCATATGATCTAGCTCGTATTCGGAGGGAGTGCGAGCGATACCCTGCCTATCTTTTCGCACCACGGCCGCAGGGTTAGCGATCGGTGAGGCGCTCTCAAACAGCACTACAGCCCCAAAGGCTGAGGTAGACATGATGAGAGGGTGTTATCCTAATCCAGCTATATCAGGAAAGAGATATCTGAATGCAGCTGAAGAAGTCGAACGATTCCCGTGGAAAAGAGCGTGAAAAAAAAGATTCTGAGAAGCCCATGAGGCGCCGCGTCAACATTTATAATCGAGTTTGGAAAATGAGTTCCGATGACGACCAGCTGACTCAAGGTGAAATATCTTCATGATAGGGCTGCTAAGATCGTCGAGGTTCCAGAACACAAAGGGGAGCCATTTAGTGCGTTGTCAGCTGGCCATTTATTTTGCCATCTTTTCAATCGTTAAGGGACAGATGGTCCACAATGCATATGCTGTCAGCCTGTACTGACGACGAACTATTCATGCTCTAAGCATCATGGTCGTCGGGAGCTTGCGATAGGTGCGGGATGGAGGGGGATACCTACGATAAAGCTCCACAGTAGTTTATCCCCGCCACAGTGAAGTTTTTTTAACTTTTTATCTTGTATTTCATCTGTTTGTCAACACCACCACTTTGACAATCAATAAGCAGTTGTCAAAACGTTGTGCTGAGATTTGACAGTCATTGAACTCAACACTGAATCGAATATACAGAGTGAAGACAAAGTAGAAGTTCTTGCTTGCGTCATCAAATTTTGCTCTCTCAAGAAGCCATGGGCCCTCCAAGAAGAAAGGTGCTTGCTACAGCTGAAGAGACATTGTTCCCGCCCGATGAGCTTGCTCTAGGACAACAAATTGGCCGTGTCATTAAAGCCACTGGGAACAATGTCTACCTGGTCGAATATCCTTCGAAGGCGAGAGCGCTGGTAGAATTGCCTGCCCGGTTCCGATCCACAATCTGGATCAAGCGGGGTTCCTATGTCGTGGTTGACACGAATGCCTTAGAGGATAGAGACAATAAGCTCGGCGGAGAAATTATCAACATCGTCAGGGATGAAAAGGCCTGGCGTAAAGCTCCTTTTTGGTCAGTCTGATGCTACTATGAAGGGCGGGACATCCTGCGGTCTATGCCATATACTGACAGTTCCCATAGGCCAAAAGAGTTCGTCAAGCCACCGACTGCCATGGAATCATCTGATGAGGAAGATGAGTCGAATGTGGGCAAGATGCCTTCGTCAGACGAGTCGGATGCGTGATTCAAACCTCCGAAGCCTTCTCCCAAACGACTCGCCTTCAGCTCAGCCATTGCCTGGCCCCCTGGCAAGAAATGGTTTACTTGTKGATCCATCGATCATCAACAAGGTTCCGGGAAGCAAGGAAACTAGGGATGTTTGCAGCAACTCCCTTGTACGAGGGCTGCATGTCAGATTCATTGCAAATGTTCTTTCTGGCTACTCTGATCCAGATGCTTGCGACTGAATGAGTTGCCGAGCACACAGAATACTTGAGCACCGAGTGAGAGGATCACGACTAGAGAACTCGTGTTGGTACTAGGATATGTGTTCCAAGCCCACTCTTGCGCCACCCACACGACGTATACGAGGATCGGATGGAAGCCCGCCTGCCAAAGAAGGAAGGGTGTCGCGCAAGCAAGATAAGCAAAGAATTGGTAATGCAGCGATCTCGCGCACAGCAGACCAATTGCAAGTGATGACAGCATCGTCGTCATGATGAAAGACTTGGAAAGGGGAACTGTGCGGTAGCGTCGTTGGATTAACCTATGCAGGAAACTTGGCAGGTTTGATCCAGACGGCTTCAGCCATACTGTGGCAGCAAAGAGACCTAACAGCAAAATGTGCAATGCCAATAGGGCCAGGGAAAACTTCCGCGATAGAAATAGTTCTTCTCCGACAAACCTCCAATTGACCGTCCACTTGAACATAAATTGTCTGGTCAGCTCAAAGGCTCGCGAAACATATCCCGTCGGGTTCTTTTGCAGAAATGGTATCCCAAGTAGGACCTACCCGTCATGTTAGCCATTTCTTTCCTTCGAACAAGAGACACTTGCATTACCTGGATGAGCACCGCAAGGAATCCTAGTTGAATACTTGGTCCAAGAGATAAGCTAAGCACCAGCACCACTGCGATGGCAGGAGCCAGAAGCAGCAGCGTCATCTTGATGGCAACGCCTGTAGACCATACAATGACCCCAGCAGTCCACTTCTTGTTCATGAACAAGAAGATAGTAACCCACATGGCGAAAGCCGCAAATCCATCGTTAAATAGGCGCAGCATGAAAACGCTATGGAGCCGCTTTGAAAGCACAAGGGGCAGTAGGAGATACGGAGGGGCTCCGGCTTGTCTGTAACAGGTCATCGCGACGGTCAATGTAGCGAGATATAGAATGGCGAACAAAATCTGTCCGAGGAAGATATCTCGTCCTTCATCCGTAAGGTGGTAAAGGCTGTTGTAAATGTATACGTGGGCGGCGGGATACACCAGAGGTCCCGTAGACCCTTTGATCAAGGTGTAGTCGCGCTCGCCGGAGATATAGAGTGAGATTTGCTGCATATAGGTCGTCCAATCGATCTCAGTATCTGCATCCAAGCGCTCAATGTTAGCTTCATGTTGCTAGGTATTGTCCCTTACATCCTAGAACATAATGCTAAACTCACATGGGACCTTCCAGATAATTAGTGCGCAAAGGATGGCATCCCCCAGAATAAGCAGAGGAGCGACCCATTTTGTATGCCTAGGGTTCATACAAAGATCGCGCAGAATGTGCTTCAAGTCCATTATATTGATAGCGATGGTATATGAAGTTGCATTGTTGTTGCAGGTGGCCTGAGAGTGCGGAGCCAATGATATTCGCCATTTTCCGGCTTAGCTCCGAAAGAGCCATTGAAACCGCCATCAGCAGAACCAACCATTGAGCTGGGGAAAACATATCACAGTAAAGTCCATAAGGTGTCATTCATTCAATTTCAAAGGTATATCAACATAAAGCAGATACAAGTGCTAATATTTACACTATCTGTACATGGGTATAGCAGGCAATTGTGCGTTTTTTTGGTGGGACAAGTAACGGCATGAAGACTGCATGATCGGCTGGAATCAATGCGCTTTGCCTATCATGGTATCACGGAAGATCACCGAGACCATTGCGGACCAATTCGTAATATCAGCCTCCTTGGTTTGGAGAGACCACCGACTCAGTCCCGAGAGTCCGCTGTTTCTGCTTCCCCTCAGCAGGTGGAAATCCTAACAATTGGCCCAAAACGCCCTTGGGCTTAGGAACAGGGCATTCCCTCCCTGTATTGGCCAGACGTTCTGCTTCCTCTTCCATTTGTAAGAACGTCGACACCTCCTCGTCTGAAGACAGGGGCCTTGCTTGGTATACTGAAGCCCCATCTTGTTCGAGCATGTTTGGGTCTTTTCTCCTCTTCCTTCGAATTCTCTGTATCTGTTGTCCATCGGCTGTCACAATCATTTCGGAATCGGCCAGCGTACGACGTGGAGCGGGGCAGGGGAAGACGTGCGGCATGCCAACGACAAAGAGCGATGCGAGGAGTGTCGCTGCAAAGAGCGACATGGTCGATCGGGACCGCGGATGTAGATGAGGCGGCATTTGGGATGTGATTAGATGCAGCGATTGATACCAGAATCGTCGCTATGACATTGACATGGAGAGATCGTGGTGCTAAGAGCTAACACGTAAAGACTCATTAGCAACGAGTGGGGGTTCCTCAAGCGGGACGAACAGCTCACCTTATCGTTGCTCGATTTAATGTTATTGAATCAACACATAAAAAGGAGAGAATGTCCCAAGAAAGACATGGCTTTCTCCAATGGGCAGCGTGGCTGAAGCGCGAGACGCCGAAATGCAACACTCGTAGCAGCGGATGAAGAGTGCGAATTGAGTTGGATTCGACCTTTGCTCTTGGCGGTCAGGATCTTATCTTATCGCTCTGTATTATGATTGGTCCGAAGTGCTCAGTGGAAGTTGTCAACGCGCCACGAGACTTTGCTGCTGCAGTTGCTGCAGGAGCCCCTTCGTCTGGACTGCAAACCACTTGCATTCACCCCCGTTTCTTTCGCTCGCTGTATGAGTTACGAAGAAAATGACTGCTGATTTTCCCTGCATATAGCGCTTCTGGTTTGTTCTTGGCTCCCTGGGTTCCCAGGCTTGGCTAAGTCGATTTTTCCGTGACCTCCCTCGGATCTAGGACGACCACCGATTGGTCACCAGCCGCTCCGACTTGATCATCCCTTCCATTCTTTTCTTCCAGTTCGAAATACTATGAGTGATCTAGACAGGTAATACTGGAGGATTTTGCTTGCCATGTATCCTCAAGGCCCTCACTGACTTTGGTTGCTTTTATCAGGGCGATCGCGCAGCTTCGCGCTTGTCGTTTGATCCCCGAGTCTCAAGTCCGCGAACTCTGCTACAAAGCTCGAGAGATCTTGATAGAAGAAGGGAACGTTGTTTCTGTGGATGCTCCAGTCACAATATGCGGAGATATACATGGCCAGTTCCATGATCTGATGGAACTGTTCCGCGTCGGAGGCGATGTTCCCGACACCAACTATCTCTTCATGGGTGACTTCGTCGATCGCGGGTTCTATTCTCTCGAGTCATTTCTCCTTCTCCTCTGTCTCAAAGTTCGCTATCCTGATCGCATCACGTTGATCCGCGGAAATCACGAATCTCGCCAGATCACAACCGTCTACGGCTTCTACGACGAATGCATTCGCAAATATGGCAGCGCCAATGTGTGGCGGTATTGCTGCGAGGTGTTTGATTACCTGGCGCTGGGCGCACTCGTACTTGGGGCCAGCTCAGAACTGGAACCGACCGGCTCAACGATGAACGACACCACCCAATCCACGATGCCGATTGATGACGCGGAATTGGAGACGGAAGTACTCAACTCGAGAGGAGAGGTCACAATGAGCACCTACAGACGGCGACAACGATCTTCTTCGGACGCGTCGACTGATTCCAGAAACCTCTCCCCACCACGGGATATCTCCGCTGTGCCTGGCCAGGCTCCCGCCAGATCCGGCGCACCGGGTGCTGGGGCTTCGGGCAACGGAGCCGGTAGCCACAACAGTCGGACCGGCGCTGTGCTCTGCGTGCACGGCGGCCTTTCGCCGCTGATAGATACAGTGGATAAGATTCGCCTGATTGACAGAAAACAAGAGGTTCCGCATGAGGGCGCCATGTGCGACTTGCTCTGGTCGGACCCGGACGAAATCGAAGGATGGGGATTGAGTCCGCGTGGTGCTGGCTTTTTGTTCGGTGGAGACATCGTGAAGCAGTTCAACTACAAGAATGATTTGTCCCTGGTCGCTAGAGCTCACCAGCTCGTCATGGAGGGCTACAAGGAGATGTTTGACGGCGGGATCGTCACAGTCTGGTCAGCCCCTAACTACTGCTACCGATGTGGCAATGTGGCCGCAATACTTGAGCTCGGCGAGGATACAAGTAACGGGGGTACGATTGCTAGAAGCAACGGTGATTATGGGCGGAGTAATGGGGTCTCAGGCGCAGACGGCGGCGGTTCAGGGGTCGTCAGTCCCGGTAGAAGGTACAGAGTGTTTGAGGCCGCTGCGCAGGACACGAGGGGCATGCCTGCGAAGAAACCTGTTGCTGATTATTTCCTGGTGAGTTTTCCCGCCTTTCCCCTGAGACACGCTGAGTTTATTAACAATGCGCAGTGATACCATGTGACGCACTTATCTTCCCTTCTAAGAATTCTTTTTACATTCTTATATAGGCCGGCCCAATCAATGAATTCTTCTCTTTTTCTTCAGAACATTGTATCCTCTATACACTATAAAAATCTCATCGTAGTCCTGCTCATAAACATGGAAGGAATCAGAGTGTATTGTATGTTCAGTAAGCACCTAGGTATGAAGGCATGGTTGGCCGTGAGCGACACTCAACACCGAGCTTGCAAAAAACGGATAATAACATCATTATCATCTCCAAAGACATTGGAATAGACATCCTTTTTCATTAATGGTGCCAACAAGACTCAAAATGCCCAATCCCATCGTTAAGCATAAACTATATATCCCGGACCATGGCATAATACACTTCATAATACAAGATTCAACATGAATATCATCGCTGCAAATTGCCTGGAAGACGTATATTGTTATACCCAGACATGCTGGGGACTTGTTCCGACTCGGTCATATTAGGAGGCACGCCAACGGGGTACATGAAGGCCTGTGGCGCTCCGGACGTGCTGTCTGGTCCTGATGTCTGTCCAGCGTCAAGAACATTGCTGTCGTAGCGCATGTTTGAAGCCGGCCCGGTGAAGCCCGCGTTCAAACGCTGCTCCCAATTTTCCGCCCCCACGCTTAAGATTGCATTGGGATTGCGGGACCACCAGTCATGGCTCTCTTCCACTAAATTCTCTGATCCATCAAAACCAGCCAATGGAGAAGCCTCTGTAGCCGAAGCGGTGTTCTTGTCTGTGCTGATGGCACGCATTTGACCGTTGTACCAAGCGTCGTGCTGTGTTAGGGGAATAGCCTGCATTGGTCGGTAGCTTTGAGGGACAGGCCTAAGATATGTTGGTTCCGGCAGAGGCGCATCTGTTGGTGGAATCTGGGCGGTAAAAGAGCGATGGGCTGCTCGCATTGCGGATAAGGACGTTGGGAATGACAGTCCTGAACGATATTGTTGGTTGCCTTGGAATGAAGCTGAAGGTGTAAGGTTTTGAGGAGAATCTCCAGGCCGGGTTATTGATGCTCCTCCTGGGACTGGTGGTGAATAAGCAGGAGCCGACGACTGAAGCTGCGCCGAAACGGTCGGTGGAGATTCTTCGGACATCGAGGGAGATGCTGCTTGATCCCATGAGCCCCAAGATCCCCATTTCGCGTGCGTCCTCTCAAAGATGCTCGAAGCTTCAGTAGGCAACTCAATCTGCCACTTATTGGCAGATATGTCGAGAATGCGAAGCGTGCGCCGAGCACAGAGCCAGCTCTCACCCATCTCGTCTAAGTTGCGGAGGCCGTGAATTATGTCCCTTTGCGCATTCTTTTCAGGTAAATTGAGAAGATGGATAGTGCAAGCAGTATGTGCAATATAGACCGCGATATTAACTATTTGTTTGAACCCATATGTGCGCTTATACATCCGCAGCAATTTCGATATGGTGGCTGCAGCTTGTGTGCATAATTTGCGAGGAGAGACATGCTGAGGAAGGGGAGATGTGGACTTGGTGTATCTCAGGAAGGGGCGGTACAGGTGTATGAAAAGGAGTTGATAAAACATGCTATTTACGATCATCATTAGTGGCGGAGTCCCATTGTGGGCTGAGTGAGTGCTTGCTTACTGCATAACGAGGATCTGAGGAAGCTGCCCCTCTCGAGGTTCCAACTCCTTGGGTAAGCCTTTCTTCCAGGCTTCAAGTCTAGTATGTATCTCGCTGAGCTTTTTAAGCTCCGCTTGCTTTGCTGGCGGCTTATCTGTTGGGCTCGGGTCATAGAAGTAAACAAGCAAGTCGCCGCTGATCTCACTCAACTTGGCAAGCTGCAAAGCCACAGTCCTGATCCGCGAGGGTTGTGTGTTGTCCTGGGTCGGACCAGAGTCTGTGTATGGGGACCAGAGCTCTGCCTCCTCATTGGGCAAGATATCGATCTTCGGCACGCAAACCTGCGAGGTCAATAATTGAGGCTGGCGGCCAAGGTAGTTAGACCAGCACCTGTCTTCGTCAGAAATACATTTGAAAATGTGCGATTGAAAGGAGTTGACAAACTTATCAAAGAGGAAACAGCCCCAAAACGTGATGCGTCGCGCATCTAATTCTTCGTCGGCAAGCTTACGAGTCCCCAGACTGTTGGAATCCAAGTTCAGGCCTAGGTCGAAAGCCATACGGAAGCTCATGCCACTGTAAACCCAACCTTTGCCCTCGCGACCGCAACCAGCTTCTCTAACTGATAGGAGCGCCAATGCTTGGACGGTGCACAGCTTTGCGTTCTCATGCTCGTCATTCTCGAGGACCAACCTCTTGGCTTCTTTGAAAAAATGATCTCCCGCAGTCGCAGAATTGCTCGGATCCGCCCGAGCGCCTTTCCATGAGCTAAAATGACAACCCAGAGCAAGCATCGCATTGACAAGTAATGACGAGCAGTATTGGCTTGAAACACCACGGATGTAGTCGCGGTAGAAGAGATCTTTAGGAATAGTGGTGAAGAAGGGATAATGCCAGGTGAAGTACATCGTCATGAGGTGACTTATCAATTGCTCATCATCGGTGACTCTCGTCCACCGAGTGACAGAGTACTCATGGCTGCGGTCCAACGCCTTGTCCCTCAGAGTTGAGTCAAATTCATTGAGCTCTGACCCTGGCGGAAGAAAGATGAGGTTGGACGTGCCTCCAATATACTTACGGGAACCGTCCAACATAAGCTCACCCATCCTTCCTGCCAATGTAGATACAAATTGATCTTCATGCGTCGAGGACTCGTCTCCGCTGGGGAAGACCTCCCCAGATGGAGGCTCTCTGTCCCGGCTCATGATCGACTCAGCCACATCTTCCAAACTGTCACAAGAACGTATTTGCCGGACTAGGTCGAAAGCGTCTTCTTCATCGTAGTTCAACAGCGCCTGAATTAAAGTGTGTAAAGTCGAATTTTTCGTCCTAAGGGTGTCCGTGTCCTTTTTGTACACACCCTTGCGTCTGTGATCAGAGTTCGGGTCGTAGATACCTGGAGGACATGTTAGCACGAGTTTCCTTCCTTCTTTCCCTCCTTTTTAGGTCTCTCCATACAGGGTGTATGATAAACGGATGAGCATGCGGCACAGCTCGGCAGGTTCCCATCGCACTGGTAGAGAAGATATAGTAAGAATATGACAAACAAACAACGCTAAGGGAAAATTTCGGCTTATTACCTTCGACTTCCTCCTCCGACAAGCAATGCAGGCGGTGCTTACGCAGCGTCTCTTGGACGTCGGACCATTGGCAGGATCCAGGCTCTTAGCTTTTCCAGCCGATTTTCCTCGGGGTCCTCTACCAGAAGGTTCCGGGCTTAGTGATTGAGCATCCACCGCAGTATTCCCTTCCATGTTTGGCAAGTCCATCCAGGAACATTCAAAGGAATCGTCGAGTCAAAGCAGACCATGCTTATGTCTGGTGTTGATAATGTGTCCGCCGCTGAAGGGAGCCCGGTAGTTGCGTGAGCAAAGAATCGTCAAGATAATGGGCGTATCAATCAATATGCGCTTAAGGGATTGAGCGAACCTGAGATGGATGGAGAAGCATCAGTACATGCAATGTCAAGCAGGGCGGCAGCTTGAAGCAACCGGAGCCTGAGCTCCATGCGCTTCATTGAGATTGCAGACACAATCTTCGTGCCTATATCTGTCTGGATATACTCACAGACCCGGACCGCAGATAGAATTGAATGTACTCTATAAGCAGCGCGATAATCACACCATGGGGTTTCGACCCGCAGTGGAGGCGGGATCGTGGAGGATGGATCCAGACATCAAACTTCGGATCACTGCGTGAAACAGGGAAAAAAAAAAAAAAAAGATAAGAGCCTTTGAGATTGTGAGATTGATTGGACGGAAACCAGAGACGAGATAAAACCACCCTGGAGCGATAACCTCCCAGAGAAGCCCTACTTCTGGATCACTGTGAACGTCACTGCCGCCGCCGCCGCCGCTGCGAAGTGGGCGATAAGAGTCGCTGACTAAGGCTCTCCTGGCGCAGGTAGGTCAACGACAACTGGAACATCTGCCAATTTGAGGATGTTGAGCAAGCGGTTGGCGAATGCGAGGAGAATTCGCTAGTAGTTAAATACATTGCAATCACCTTGTTGAATAACAAGTTCGATAGTCGGCTGAAATAACCTCTTGTTGTTGATAGCAGTGAGATCCCTGAAAATGAGGATTTGGCGCTTCGACCAGATAGTCGAATTTGGCCAATCACGGCGAATGGGTTTCTGAAGCTACCTAGGTATGATCTGCCGAGATCTGAGGTTATAAACTAAACAATAATTAATGGATGAATGTGCACATCTCAAGCATCACACCAGTGGCACAATAGCTGTACCTCATAAGTCCCTGGCACGAGCGAAGTCTGTACTATCCACATCTGACCCTAGAATAAACAATCCAATCTAACTTCTATAGCTTTTTTTCAAGGGCATGTAGTACTCTCAAACATAAAGAACCCCTCTTCATCTATCACATCATCTTAACAATTCTCTTGAGAATATGAGGCTCCTTTTTAAGCGTTTGGAGTATCCGGTTGGAAAAGTGCCTTCGTACATGAGGATCCTTTCAGCTACCTCAGTACAGTACCTGCCTTACTGAGTGGACCATGATATGTTACCGTTAATGATGCGTTATTTCCCAGCCACAGAGTATCTAGGTATAGCTTTACTAACACGAAGCTGACTCTGATATGTAGAGGTTACCATACTTCTTCTAAGATAGTAAACTATTCAGATAATATGATAATAGTTACACATTGGCACCTACTCACCGCATCTTGGTAAGGCACCAGTTAGGTATCTCGTTAGGTACCCTTAGGAACAACCTACCTACCTCATTGGGAGCTGAAACTGAAAATTACCTCCGGTATTCCGAGACTACCTTACAATGGAGAAGAAATGCAAATACGTCCATATTTGGGTATGGATCTTGGTACCTTACCTTGTTAATTCCGGACTTCTGGAACGATGGCATGGCAGATTTACGATCAATTGAGATCGAATATAGACAGCATACTTCTGTACTTACATCTTAATTTCATCGAACTTCCCATAATCATGATCTTCATTCAGAATACTGAGTCCATCCCTTCCCTTTGGCGGCAAAGGGAGGCTCTTACGTACAATTCTGCATGCAAAGAGGACAGGGTGTCTGCGGCCGTGAAATCATCCAGCATAGTGTGGCGATGGGTGCACGCCGAGTTTAGAAAGGCTTGATACACCGTAACGACGGGAAGGGTGAGGCTTGAGACATTCCCATAAACTGAGATCAGCGATCCCAGACCAATCCGCGCCTGGTTTCGTGAGCGTCGTGACGGTCCAAAAAAGACCGCGAATGGTTTGGACGGCTTGTTGAAGAGCAATCTAGTAGTTCGAGCTAAACACCCAGTCTGACGCCATGACTGTAATGATTGCGATCTGCAGGTAGGGTCAGCAATCATCCTATTCCTACTATATGTATATGGATAACAAGTCTTACAAGAGACAAGTCTACTCCTGGTAGAACGGTCACATCCAGGACAGGTCGATAGCCCTTCTTCGAACCCGGCAACAAGGCCAATTTCTCATTGTGAGGTATACTTTCGCGAATCTCGGCGACCTTCCTGTCCCCATCCACGACATCGAATGAAGCTAGAGCGTTCCCATACTTTTCAACCTCTAAAGTGAGTATCTTTTCCTCCTCCTTTTTCGACTCAACGGCTGCTCTATTCTGGAAAGTAATCTTGAAGTCACCGACGGACCATCCTGCGCTGGCCGTGGCTATATTCGCATATTTGCTTCCTGGTAGCGTGACGGACCATGTATTCTTGAGCGACATCTTCCTATGCAGCTCGAACAGAGGCAGTCCAGAAGCATCCCAGAATTCGCGACAGGCACGAACACTGAATTTACGACCTGTCGCAGTGAACAAGGTCACCCCATTGCTATCCTCAATCTTATATGCTCTTGAAGACTGCCTGTCACCTTGCGGTCTCACAACCAAAAGTGTCCTTGAATCCGTGACATATTCGGTTCGTACGGCGATTGGACGGCCCGGAGCTTTTAATACTCTGCGGAAAGAGCTTTGCGAGGACGAGGAGGAGGAGTAGGAAGATGATCTAAACATTGCAACGTGTATTGGAGCTGGTTTGGTGAGCTGCGGGGAAGCGCTCACTTATACCCGACGGAGTATTCCGTCATAGCATCAGGGCTGGACTGGTCGGAGTCTGCGGGTAATCGTCGCAGCATGGATTCTTCCATGTCCCTTGCACAGCCCCGCGATCGAGCCTCAGCTTTGAGACGAGTCAGCTTAGGACTGGTGTAGAAAATATCTCACTTCATGATTCTTCGAGATTGTGATAACTTTAGTACCACAAAGGAGTCATTTATATGTTTCTCGCTTATGAGACGAAGGATCTGCAGTTTTGCGTCTTATTGGGTAATAATGAATCATGTGATCTAGGTACACTATGCCGAAGGTGTCATTGATACTAAGATGCATTATTCTCAGTTAAGCTAACGAGTACCAAGTTGCTTATAAGTATGCATGATTACTGTCTTTCACATGGCGGGCTCTCTTATCTTTCATATAGATTAGGTTGTAGGTCGACCTTTCAGCTTCAAGGTTGGGCAGGCAAGTATGATAAATTACCAATACACTGAGTCACTGACACCCCCTCTCCCCTCCTCTCTGTAATCTTCTTATCTTACTTGGTATTCTGACTAATAAAAAAAGTGGGTATCTTAATAATAACTGTAACAGTTGCAGCACACGACAGTTCAATTTATTCTAATAATACGCATTACACTTAGGCAACTGCTGGCAAGGTAAGGTAGTATTGAACTACTCCGTACGGAGTAGTATCATCATTTTGGATAAGGTAGAATCTTCTCTGACTTCTGTGGGGTTTCCAAAAACAGTATAAGGCAAGGCAAGCCGGTATTACCGATCGGTTACCAATCGACTGGTGAGACATGGAAGTCAGGCGGATGATAAACAAACAAATAGCCATATGTTTGGATTATAACTGCTGGTGGGAGACATATTACGATACCATACCATTGTTATTGTTCAACATGCTCGGATCCCCGGCAATTCCGCTGTTACCGCCCCAAATTCCCTTAGTAAGGGAGCCCTCAGTTGTTACCATACACAACTCTTTTCCTATTTTCATCAGTTTAGTGCGGATTGCAGTCTATTCCGAAAACAGATCCAGCCCAGGCCTAATAAGGCAAGGTGGTGTATTCCATTGAAATTACGGCCTAGGAAACGCAGCCACCCACTCTTCTTATCTTCACAAAACAAGCCAGAGAAGATCACCATTTCCTCGCCCCCATCTGACGTCTATTAGGGTATTATTATTATTGCACTCTTACGGTGGAGGAGTCCTTTTCCATCCTCTTCATCTTCCTTTTCTCGTTTCATCCCTCTACTCCATCTCTGTCTGGTTTGGACACTGTATACATTTTTAGTTGCATCTGTCCTACCTGTCAGGTTTACCTGTCGCGTGCCTGCATACGCATACTGCCGCTATCCCGCAACCGGTCTCCAGTTCCGCTTGCCTCAAATCTTTATCGCAAATCATCTGCCAACACACCGACACTACCCACACGTATATCACCGAATAATTATACTCCCTGGGGGGAGTCCCTGCAGCAATCCCATCTCTTCCTCCTTCTCGTCCTCCTTCACCATCCATGTATCTCGCTCAGACTCTCGATCAAAGTGCCTCGTCAGGGCTGGATCACCTTATCAACGAACTGTGCCTTGATAACAAACCATAAAGATGATGGTCCCCAGGGCTTTTATTTTCAGCTCTGTGTCTTCCCCAAAGCCATTCAGGCAAGATGAGAAGGACTTGCAGCCACCCTCCACCTCTACCTCCACCATGACCTTTCTCACGGCGCAGGACGTCGTCTCCGGCCTCGAGTTCCCCAGCGAGGCCAACTCTACGAGCCCAGTAGTGATCCCTCCGAAACGTGGGCCTCGTGTTACATCGACGCTTGAGAACAACACAGCGTATGGTTCAAAGACACTCCGAAATAAGACAATATCTCTCCGGTCATCTTCGCCCGCTTTGCGCGATCGTCATGTACCCACATCCATTGCGTCCATCCTAGAAGCCACCGCGATTCCAGTTCCCAGACGCAGCTGGGGTGTGCGAGAGTCACGGAGACTACCGCGCGGAGACCATGTGCAGGAGTTTAGCAGGTTGCTGATGGAAGGGGTCAAATCAAGAGATGATCATTTACTAGAAGGGACTGGTAACACTGCTCTTGACATTTTGCTTAGCCCTCCAGATGAGAGCGAAAAGTCGGTGGTCGGCAGCGATTACGAGCCTGAGACACCGTCATTCTCTGGACGATCTATGTCACTCGAATCGATGCCGTCCTTAGATCACGATCTGGATTCTCCATCTAGCCTTCCTGTGCCGCCTACCCCTGCAAGCCAGCGAAGCCCTTCAGAGAGAAGATACCGCCGCCCACCACATCCAGAAGATTGCGCTCTTGACCATCCCCTACTGGATAAGGATCTGTCGGAATCAGATTGGAGCCTGACTGATTCACAGCCCTTGTTTACTGATGCCACTCCTTCCAAATCCCCTGGCCATTCCCGGTCGTTCCCTCGATTAGGCTCCTCCTTCAAATCCAATCTGACAGCATCTTTACGAGCAATCAAGTCCGCTGCTCAGACTGTTTCGACCTTTGCTTCTCCATCGGTACAACCAGAGGATTTTCTCACGCGGTCTTTGTTCAATATTACTCCGGAGATGACGGATGACCGACGGCCTCCGCCCATGAACGAGCCGCCATCACCCGCCCTAAGGCGGTATCTGAACCCGATTCAGGTTTCACCCTCCGAGATGTATGCTTACCAAGACTATCCACATGAAGCCCTGGATTCTCGGAACTGCCCAGTGTCGATCCAAATGCAGACATATCACCGTTCACGAGGCAGTGGAGGTCGCAAGGGCAGGTTTCATCTCGCCGGCTCCGCAAGCCGAGATCAACAATTCCTGCCATTCGATCCAGAGCATCCGGCCTTCTCACGGCCCCGAGAACCGCGGGAGAACAGTGATTTTCTGCGCATGGTGGTTCTCGAAATGAACATGAGACGTAGCGGAAAGCTCCGTGACGACATCCCGACCCGTGCGCGGATCTGGTTACCGCCACGGAAAAGCATCCAGCATCGGTTCATATTCTACGACTTTGATGAGCACGACCACGAAGAAGACACCGAGCATGCAATCCCTCCACGATGGATCGGAATTTCTGCCTGATACATGCGTCTATCTCCTTCTACCTTTGCTTACCCAACTGTTGACCCCCCTACCTTCTTTCTTTTTTCTTCTTTCCCCGCATCTCAGTATCTATTTGGGTTCATCCCAGTTTTCAATTTCCCACATTCTGTACATATTCAGAGGCTTTCTTTGGTTGGAGCATAGACAGCACGGCGTTTGGCTGGACTGGAGTCATCATATACAGTGGTTTGAACAATCACTTGTCATCACATGTCTCATATGGGCAGAAGGACCGTTTCCCTTTCTAGCCTGGTACATATAGCGAAGCGAAATGAAATTTTCTTTCTTGTTTTACGGAGTATGAAACACACCTTAGCCCATGTTGGATTCCTCAAGTAACTTGGAATTATGAACGGAAGCAAACTCAGCGAGGCAGCCGGGTAAGAAAGTGTGAAAAAAGTAGCGACATGTGAAAGCAAGGGATCTGGTATCACTATCACATACCATCAGCGTCTCCTCTCCTTGCTGCACTAATAATCTTGGTAGACACTGCTTTACAAAGCACCGAATATACATTCCTGGATCAAGTAACTATTAATGCCTTAATCAGTATATGGCCTGACTGCGTAGCCTGAGCAACATCCATGGAGTCGTCTAGTATCAATTGTCTGGTTGCCCACTCGCACGGAGTACTATATGCAAGCCTTATCTCTATCCAATCGTATCCAGCAGTTTACTTGGAAGTTTATACGACGGTGCAGGGATCGACTATCTACCCCGTACTACGTAGGCAATAGTAAAGAAAGAATTAGATATTTCGTACAGTGCTAAGATATCGTTTCTTGATAGCGTGTGGGGAAGCAATGACTATCCCGCCCAAATCAACACGGAGCATGGGGTATCTTCTTTGGGCACCAGTGCAGCTGCTAGACTACTAATGAGCCTGTGTGTGTGCTTCGTCACTGTATGTCGTTATGAGTCATGGACTAGGCTAATTTTTATTGCAGGGCGAAGCCTAGGATTCAAGACCCGGACCTATGTGTCGGTTCATCCTGGCCTGAATGTTTAAGCGATGCCAGATATTCATCGTTTGGGCTGGAATCCTGCGCAACTAAATTAGATGCTAGTCATCAGGAAAGTTACATTGTATGACTTACTCTCCTCATCCAATAGCGTTCGGTGCTTCCAGCTCTCTTCTACCCAGTCAACAGTGACTATATGTGGTACCTTCTTCCCAGGCTTTCTGGACCACTTTCCTCGTAGCGAAGATATTTCTGTTGGCGAGCTTTCTGGATCAACAACCACATGGGTGATTGAGGGATTGCTTGAGGTCTTGGCTATATTCGCGCCTGCAAACCTCGCTACATTGATAGCAAAACGCAAGCGGATGTGAATATCCGACGGAATCATACTTTCAGACTCCGACACCTCCTCATTCTTATGTGGGAAGAGTATCGTAAGACTCTTGAAAAGCCACCCGCATGGCATTTCATGTCCAGAATGGACACTTTCTTGAATACGTTCAATGACCTTCGTGACGGACTCGGGACACTGGGAAATCTCGAAACGATGCTTCTTCGTCATTTGTTTCAGAACCTTAACGAGATCAGCAATCGTTCAATGAAACATTATGCGGAAAACGTACATCACTGAGCTCCTCACTCGTGGTGTTACGAGCGTAACTATCGCCAAATTGGTCCCCATTGGATGCCACTTCGTCGTGCCTGCCCGGCGTGGCGAAGAACATGTGCCTAGAGCAAGTTGAGCATAGATCCGTCTAGTCGCGGTAGGTGTTCGAACATACCTAGGCTCAAAAGGGAGGAGAAAGTCAGGTAGCCCTGCGTCAATCTCATTCTGCTTCACACAATCAAAAATCCAGGACGGCCGGATGATATCCAAATCGCCTCTCTTCTGTAACGAGGCAGCTTTTACTGTTCCTAGCATGCAGGTCAGCTAAAAGAGACCTCATTATTAGGCTAGGAAAGCATTACTTCTGTCCGCCACACAGATTGTATGAGGAGCTGCATTGTTAGTTTGGAAGAACGTGCCACCGTTAGCTTTGACAAGCTGCTCTAGTTCAGGCTTTGTTTTCTTGACGGGCGCACTCGAATCTGTCAGAATATCTGCCTCGCGTGGTTAGTACACTATCAATGGACAGGCCGGGTGCGAGATGCAAAGCTTACAAAAGTTCAATCCGTCAAATATATGCCCAGATGGACCAGCATACTTGACATCTTCGTCCATGTCGTATCCAGCAACCGTGAGAGGCTTCTTCGTTGTCCTCTTGACACGTTTCCTACGGAAATTGTCCACACTCAATTCCTTCTCCCGGTGCTCCTGCTCAACGTTCGACTTGAGATCTAGGAATTCCTGAACAGAAAGAGCACTTTTCCAATCTTTGTCCATGCGCAGCCTTTTGAAACGTGGAAACCGCAAAGTCAGTCCAATCCGAAACTGGTCACTAGCTGATACGGAGGCTGCTTTGACACAAATGACGACTGAGTCTTCCGGCTTGATCCACATGTCCGGTCGCTCATATTGAGCATCTCGACCTGCCAATTCGATATACGCCGTTGGAGATTTCTTTGGGTTCCACTCCACCCATTTACCATCAGTGTGATGACGAATATTTGCATAATCAGCGGCGTTAAAGCCACCTCCAACTTTGCAGAAGGAATAGCACTTTGACGCGCTCGCACCTTGAGAGGCATGAGCATCGTCAACTCTTAGGCCGCAGAGAAAACTTGAAAGATTGCCGCCTCGACGACCGGAGCCATAGTAACCACCGATGATGATGAGATCTAGAGACTCTCCGAACTCGGTCATGTACTCAGGCTTCACCTTCATCCAGTCATCGTGCCTCTCGTTCAGACGGTACGGCGACCTGGGGTTCTTGAGCACCAAACCCTCGGAAGCTTCAGCAACCACCTTTCTGAGCGCAGCTTCGACTTCATCTTTAGTCGTAGCTTCTTCGTAGGGATGTATTTCGAATCTGCGATGGACAGGCCGGACAGCCTTCTGCAAAGCATTGCGACGATCACGAAGCGTGTAGCCAGTTAAGTCTCGCCCATTGAGGTACAGTATGTCAAAGACGCGCAGCAGCGGCCGAGCGCCGGTCGTAGAGAACGGATTCCTCTGTTCGGACAATGCAGCAGTCTTGAGTGTGCCGAAAGGTGCGGGAGCGTCTTGCTCGGGGTCCCATGTGATCATTTCACCGTCCAGGATCAGACTCTGGACCCCATCTGCAAAAGCATCCTTGAGATGCCTCGTCAAGGACCCATTCTCATCATGAATACCATTGCCATATAAATAGGTATATTCTTTCGCTTTCCTTGACCAGAAACGGAATCGTCTACCGCCATGTACTGAATCGTCAGACTCCATATGAAGCTGCATGCGCTCGCCATCCAGCTTCTCCTCTATCCAGAAGACAGGATCCTCCTCCGTCGGTCTCATTCGACCGACCATGCGGTCCAGCGAATGCATTTGGAACTGAGCCAGCTGCGGCTGGAAGCATTGCATCAGGCTGATTCCTCTGTCCTCAGCGTCCAGCCGAATATTCGGATCGTGCAACTCCCAGCAGACACGCCGGAGACTGCTCGAAATACTGTACAAATTCTCCGCATCCGGATGCCAGACATCAAAGAAGGTCCGCTCTGTCGCTCCCACCTTCATCTGCCGGAGGATGATACGAATCAACCACATGAGTTCCTCGGGATTCATGCGCCGGTAAAACTCCGCAAGGATCGGCAGCTGCTGGTCCTCCTTGGACGCCGCCGATAACTTGTCCAGCTTCTCGTTAACCTCCTCAATCAACATGTCTCCCACCTCAGTCCGCATTGGTCGCTTCGAGATGACATCGAAACATCGGCCCGCAAAGTCGCCCGCCATCCTGGACGTAGCTGCTTGCCCAGGCAGCTTCCAGTTCAGCAGGTTGAAGCCATCCTCGGAATTCTTGTCGATTTTCATAATCTTGATAAGCATTTTGCCGATAGCCTTCTCCTTGATTCCGTACATGGCCCGGTCCCGATCCTTGTCCGGAAGGATTAGTCGAAAGGCGGGGTATATATCATCGCCCACTTCTTTCCTCCACCGCGAGATAAAACGCTCGATCACATCGCGTCGTCTCTCCAGCGGGTTGAGATTCGCCGCTGATTGCCCATGGGGACCGACTTTCCTGCGAGCTGCAGCCGCTCCGGCTGGTTTCTTTTTGATTTCGCTCAGAGGGTTGAAGAGGGTCTGGAAAAGCTCGTGAAAAGGTAGCGTTGGGGAATGGTTACGCGGGCGATGGGGATATCTATAGCATCGAGTACCATAATGTCAATGACTTTGTCTCTCAACACTGAGTAGGTTTTATAGATGAAAGCAGCGTGCGGGTAGCCTCACTTTTCGTCAATGTCAGACTCCTCATCTCCGAGAGGAACATTTGGATGCTCCTCATCAGGAATGATCTCGTCAGAGTCCATGGTGTATCAAAATTCATTCGCAAGTCAGGAGTAAAATATATTCGGAGTGAACCCCCAGTCCACCATACATGTCGACAACTAATATATGGCGAGCCAAGGAGCGTGTTGATCCATGAAGATTAGGCTACAACGGTCCCCGATAAGATAGCGACACATGTGACATTACATCACCTGCGTTTACGCCCCAGAATGGTGGCATAATTCAGATATTATCGTATTCTGACAAAACCTACAGTCACCAGACATTATATACATCATTCGACATGTTTAAAATATGGCTAACTCCCAATCGTCCGTCAGATCGAGATGTTAGCTTCGTCATGTATATCACAATATCAGTTTCTAGGAGCCTGTGGCTGCGAGGACAGCTCCGCGAGCTTCGTAAGGATGGCAATAAATCTCTTGCTAATTCCCCATGAAGTAAGCCCGGCAAGCGTCTCGCAGCCAACCTTCAAAATGCGCTCAGGACCATGGGGAGCACATATGTCCCCGACACCTGTGACGTTTCCTCTCATAACATGACCCTCACGGACAAAGAGCTGGACTAGCTCGTCGTCACATGGCCGGTCCAGG